CGACGCCCACCAACCCCCCACCTCCCCCTCTCTTCCTCCTTGGAATAAAGAAATTTCTTAATTAGGAGAGGCTCACAATTAATGACAATTCAAATTCAAAATTTGAATTTGAATTACCATTAATTACTCCTTAAATTCGTCCCTCCAATTAAGCCAATAACCATTAATTTAAATCTGAAATGTAATTTCGGATTTAAATCAATTAATCATTTAATCCTCACAATTAATGATAATTCAAATTCAAAATTTGAATTCGAATTAGCATTAATTACTCCTTAAATTCGTCCCTCCAATTAAGCCAATAACCATTAATTTAAATCTGAAATTTAATTTCAGATTTAAATCAATTAATCATTTAATCCTCCCAATTAATGACAATTCAAATTCAAAATTTGAATTTGAATTAGCTTTAATTACTCCTTAATTTCAGATTTCGATTCTCTCTCCTCAAATTGATTTGGGCTTTAATTAATCTTGCCACCTAGGCAAGTATATGGCATTTACGTTTCACATCAGATTGCTTATGAAATATTCTTTTTACATGAGCTCTTGTGAGAGTTTGAATGTTTGATGGAGAGAGATCCCTAGGATAGGGAGATTTGCGCACCACCCACCAACCTTGGAGACGGCCGGGTTCGTGGTTCGTTATCTTGCTTGATCACCTTAATTTCCCCTTCACCTAAGCCACTAAACTCCTCCACCCGAGTACTCTTCTTCACTCTCAAAACCCACGAACCAATCCCCTTCCCAAATCCCTCACCAGACCCCTTCCCTTCACTTCACCCACGGTTTCCCCACTCAACCCGCCGGCTTCCTTGTTTGCCCCTTAAGATTTTCCCCCACCAAAACTCTACCATCACTTGACTTCTTTCCATAAATAAGTTTTCTTACCTTGGGAGGATTTAATTTCAAATTTGAAAACAAAATTGAATTTGAAAATTTCTTTCCTAATTTAAGAAGTTTATTTTTGGAAAGTTTCCTATTTTAGAGCCTATTTGAATTTCAAATTTAAATGGAGGTAATCAATACCTTTCCTATTTCGTTTGGTTAAATTAGAAAGTTTTTAAACTCTCTTCATTAAGGCCCACTGGACCTTCATTGCCGCCAGCCCCCTTAATAATGGGATTAGGAATTCTTTCCTAAAACAATCACCTTTCTTTGGAAATATTTCCCCTTTCCTACCAGCCGAGATATTCAAACCTCAAGCCATTAATTACTTCCCTAAAGCTGAGAGTGGAATAAGGAAATAATTACTGGACCGTTCCAAAATCTGTCCAGATTTCTTTACTTCTCTTTGGGAAGGTTTGGGATTTGAACATATTGCTGGCTGAAATTCTCCAAAAGACCTCACCTTGGGTTGCATCTCTCAATTATTCTCTCACACGACAGAATCTGAAATTTATTTCAGAATTTCTTTTGATTGTTAGCTCTCTCCTTTCACCAACTCAAGAGAAACTTCTTTCTCTTGCTTCATCTCAAGAGCCCTAAGCAAGACAAGGAAGAGAGTGTTTCCTAGTACTCATGAATGGCGGACCCAGCAACTGATTATGGCATAACTTGGGACAAGGACGGCTACGTGGACATCCTACAATCTACCTTCTTCGACGTGAACCCAAGAGTTTATTTCACCGTTGAAGATTATTTAGAGCGTACATTGATATACTTGGTTGAGGCTATCGACGAAAATTTTGAAGGCATCGAGTGGAGGATCTCCACCTCTCCCTAACGAAGGTTTTCTTTTTCCCTTGCGTCTTATTCCTTTTAGTCTAAATTCTTGTTGGTTTGATTACAGTCACGACGGGTTCTTCCAACTGCTCTTGCTTAAGCTTAGTGATCGTAGGATTTGAGCGCACTTTCAATGCATCCTAATTCTCATTGTTAGATTAGGGATTAATTTGAAACTACTACTACGTGTTGTGTTATTTTTCTATTTGTTTTGGAAGCTTCAAAACTCTCATCATGTGATTTAGGCCTAATCGGATAACCACTGATTATTTTATTTCGTTGTTTGAATTTGCTCGTAGCTTTATTCTTGAATTATTCTAATATTAAGTTGTGCAAGTCCAAATGAATTAAGCATTGCATATGTAGTCCTGCATCACCCGACATATATGCGAATAGTTACTTATAAGTTTGCCCCCTTGAAAATTATAACTGGTTCCTCCCCTGGGTGCTCTGTGTAACCAGAAACATGCTTAAAACAGGCATACTCTTTTGAACTAAAGCACTCAATCTAATCACAAGTTCTACAAAATTTCCAACGAACTAAGAATTAGCTAAGAAGTGATGTTGAATCAACGCTGGAATGCATCTTATTCCTAAAAACCAATGTGGTAAGTAATGGCATTTCTTTCACCAAGTATCTTCATGAAGGGGCTTCTCACCAACGCTATTACCTTCAAATAGCCTAATCCTACCAATGATATAGTAAACAACACTAGCAATATACTTGCAGATAAAAGTTGACTTACTTTTACAGAAAGAGAAAGTGCTAAAGCCACTGCTCCTCGTAGCCCAGACCATACGAGTATCACAGATTCCTTCCAGTCAAAACCATACCCAGAATGACGCAAAAAAGGATATAATAGCCCAACAACTACTACACGTGACAACTGAACATAAACATAGAGCAGAACAAGGTATCCCCATGAACTTCCTGAAAGAGGAAAAATCATTTAAAGGAAATTGAAGGATAGCAAAAATGAATTCATAATAACATTAATCACTCAACACCAGGATTTAGAAAAAAATCTAACTAAAAACAGTTACGTTCAATGGGGTTGTGAGCTAAATTACTTAAACAACAATCTTTTGAAGGTATAATCTCATTCAAACATATCAACTAGCTCCTAGTGTACTCTCATGGAAGGAAGACAATCAGGAGAGAAGAATTTCGTTTCATTTCCTCATCAGTTGGGCATTTCTAGAACAACTTTTTCACTGAGGTGGTTAGCAGTTCATGGATGGGCACGCAATTCAATTCTTTTTTTCTTCGAATCATATAGATTTGGTTAGATGGAGAATAACTCCACTATATTTCAAAACCTTTCAGAAATGGTCATATGGTTAATAAATGTAGAAATGGTGTTTCCTGCTTTGGTTATAAAAAGGTATGTCATAAGATAACAATATTGTCCTTTATCTTCTAGAAAAGAGAATATGTCATTTTTGTGTTTCATTGACAAGGATAAAATGCATCTCAAATTCTTTAGATTCTTATATGTCTCTAGTGTTAGAATTAATATAAAGGAAATTACTGAAGCCCATAACAAGTACAGGAATACAGATTCGTATCAATCCATTACTTTCATTAAACATGTTTTTTTTTCCTTTAATCAAGTTTAAGGCCAACGAAATTCTCCTGTTAGAAAAGGGTGCATGAATAAGTGGTATGACAAGATATAGTATCCATTAAGGGGCTGTTTGATTAGCTAAAAAAAGAATGCACTTTAAAAGGAATACAGTGTAAAATGAATACTTTGGAGTTGTTTGGAAGAATGTAAAGTAAATGCAGGTGAATTATTTTTTTATTTAGTTAGAAATAATGAATGTAGAGTACAGTCCTTGGTGGTCACGGCCGGCGAGTGGTCGAAGGCGACTAGGAGGCGACGGGCGGCCGATGGTGGGCAGTGGCTATGGAAGGCGGGAGACGGTGGTGGTAGGCTGATGGCAGAGGTTGGTGATGCCGGCGCTAACTGGTGTCGACGGTGGTCAGAGGTGGCCGCGGAGGTCAGACTGGTGGCCAGCAACATCAGTGAGGGAGATGAGATTAACTAACAAGAAGAAGATCTTAAAAATGAAGAGATTCTACCTGAAGGAGAAAAAGATTATGTGAATGAAAGAGAGGATGAATTGTACAATATGATAGAATTGCATAAGACGGCATAATATAACATAATCATAACATACGGTGAATTACATATGACATGATTACATATAACATAATTTTATGCTAATTACAAATGTGTAAGGCAGAGACCAATGTTCCATATAATTAATTAAAATTACACACAACCATATACAATCACAGCAGCCTATTATATTAACAAAATTGCATATCTTACCTCCTCAACGCATTACTTCTGATATTTGAACACCTCGAACTCATCTACACGTATATGTCACCTATAATAATCCAATCCCTTACTTTGAGAACTTAACACAATTTTTCTTCTAATCCTATTCTTACATTTATTTTTTATCCTGAAATGACTTTTACCTTAATATTTTCCATCCTCATACTACGTTTCAATTTTCAATGTCCTCTTGCTAAATATTATTAGAATCTTTAGTGATGAGTGGATATTTTTAAACAAGAACTTTTTCAAAAAACAAATATATAATAAATACTAGGTTTGATACTTTTTTTCTCTCATTTTTCTCTCTTTTTTCTACTTCTCTCTCCTTTCTCCTTCTTCTTTCTACTCCGTTTTCCTTATTCCTTTCTCCGAAAATTTTCTCCTTCTCCAGCTGATTTCCCACTTCCAGCATTCAACCGCTGGAGGATTACAGCACCAGCTCCAAGAAATTATGTCCTGAAGTCACGGGACTTAAATGGAAGTTAACCCCTTATGTATCTTTTATTATTTACTTAATATTTCTCCACTACTCCCACTATCCATTTTGCTTCTTTCGGATTTTCCATCACAGCCATTTTGAAGTTGTAAGATGTTCGAAAAATGGGGTATATTGTTTTGGATAAATTTGGAACTTTTCACATTTTCACATTTTGGAATATTACAATTAGCAACAAAAATTAATCTTTTTTAGCAACCAAACTTATCTCGGTTATGTATCGGAAATAGCCTCTACTGGAAAACTAGTTGATTGTCTTCAATTTGTTATCCAGATGGCTGAAAAAGAAAGAAGAGAGGTGCTAAGATTTGTATTTATTGTTGATTTTTTTTTTTTTCAAGTCCGGTATATCATAATTGATTTTTCAATTTAAGGTCGATTTCTAGCATCTAAGTTGTCAGCTTGCCTACAGTATCCTTTCTAGCATAATCATTCACATATGTTGTTGCCACACTTGCGAGACAAATACTAGCTTTTAATGTTGGCGAATCGTCAGCTTGTAGGAGAGATTATATTGAATGACCCATCAACCTCATAGAAAGTAGAAACTTGAAAATTAGAATAAGAAGAGTAGAAAATAAAAAAATTTCTAACATAGTTTTATTCCCTAATTTTGTATAAAAAAAAAAAGATAATAATTTATATATAAATAGATGAAGAAAAAACTATCTAAAAAAGAAATAAGTCGGGAAATCAGTATTTAATTCTCGAATTCATAATTAACTACATGACAAAATTGGAGTGAAGCTGTCCGCATAATTATGGATTGTTATGGATGGAATATTGTTGTCCATGAAGTGAAGTGTTGAATTATTGTGGATGGAAATGTGTTAGCCAAGAACTCAAGATTATTTTAATATATGTAACTAAGAAAAAAATATATCAATAAAAGGGTGGCAAGAAGTTCAGTTAACAACAAAGTAGCCGCGTGAATAAGAAACAAATGCGTCATGTCAAATATGCATATTATAAAGAAAAAAACCAGTTCACGTTTTGAATCAACTCTTAATAATGTCGCAAGCATTCAAAATATGTAACTTGCATAAATAGGACTACGAAAATGAATGGATATGTAGGAGAATAATACCATGCCGTTCAAAATGGTTGTCACCGTTCAAAACACCTTCAGCAATAACCACTCCGCTGGTTACAAAGAGAATTGAAAATATAATTCAATGTAGATCCAAAAATAGGTAATTCATGTGGAATATAGAATATAAGATAATAAATGGATTAAGAATGATTCCAATCTTGAGAAAAAAAGGAACAGACAGAAGTCAACGTGAATATATACGAAAAAACTAATGCACATGTAATATATTGCCATTCATAGCAGCTCTATAAAACCCAATAGTTACTTGGACATGCCAAGTTTAAATATCATCAATATCAGGAAGCAGCCAGCTGAAAGTACAATAATCGCACACAATATTAACAAAGTGAATAAATATCCTTCGTTCATCTTTTGTGGTATCCAACAAGAAAGCCTACAAAGCAATGCATAAGGAAACATTGATATTTGAGGTTTGTTGAATCATTAACTATACAACTACTACAAAAACAACAACATCAAGCCTTTATCCTGCTACATGTGATCGAATACATAAATTTACTTGTAAAGGAACCTATATTCTAAGATACTATCCTAATCTCAGTTTTATGGACTAGCTTCTTTGCCCACATCCATTCATGATGTGGGAACCCTCGCCTATTTAACACTGTACCCGAGCACCAGTGCAACAACCCATGCATACTTCTCACTGTATTCAGCACATACAACACATTGCTTCCAAGGAACGCCCTAGCATTAACACAATGTATTAAATGATTCATGTCATAACTATTCGACAAATTTAACACTAATTGTCGACTACCTAACGCAATCCTCCACTTTTCTCATACAGGACTTAGGACCTGACAACGACAGTGTTGAATAATAAAAAGTAAATTAAACGGCTCTCGTGAATGTTCAAATCAAAGGGTCATGCATAGAAGTCAATACAACCAATCAAAGCAACTGTACACAACACTCCAAATTGCTTACAAAATCTACATTGTTGTCTATTAACTCCCTCAATCAACAACAGCCTAACACAACAAGTTAAAAACAGAACCAGACAAAAGGTGCAAGTGAGCAGCTGCCATTGCGTCTATGGGAGCGAACAAGACAATGAACACAAGCGAGCAGGTGTAGATTAGTCTTTTGACAAAGACGCAAAATGAGCAGCGAAAGGTAAATGATAGGCAGACTAAAATTGGGTATATGATAGGCAATTTTAGGTGTTGTTAACAATTATTACCTAATACTAATGGAAGATTAAAAGATAAAAAAGAGTAATAGATTTAAGTATCTCGAATCTATTATACAAAAAATAGAGGGGGGGGGGTGGTGTTGTAGATAAAGATATAAATACAAAGCTGATTGGTAAATAAAGAGAAGTGTCTCAAGAGCAACACCAATAAGAAGATATCATCGAGTCAGAATAATTATTTTATAAAATTTCAATTCAGTTAACTATGTTGTACGTACATAATGGTTAGGCAATAAAAAAGTGGTTGATAATTTAGTTGAGTATCACAAAAGTAAGAATGTTAAATAGATGTGTAGTAAAGCAAGTAAGGTTAAATTGAGTAATAATTGAATTAAAATGATGGTTGGTGTATATAAATTGCATACAAGTTAGTTAAAAATAAACTTAAATAAACTGTATTGTATGATAACGGGTACAAAATACAATTATTATATAGAAAATATAAAACTAGTGCCAAATGAATAGAAACAAAAAAATGGAATCATAAAGCGAACCCAAATGGCAGAGATTAGACGAAGCATGATGGTCATGATGATATTATTGTTTTACGAAGAACCATAATTTAGGATTGTTTCTATTTTTTTTACTTGAACAATCTTTTAAGTTTGGCCTCATTTTTATTAATAATGTATCAGCATGATACTGCAGATTAATAAAACTAGATTGTTATTGTCAAAACTATAGTTTCACTTATCAGCAAAAGGAAGTTTTTTTTCTAACTTGTTTCACGTAATTAATAGCAATGTGAGATGATAAGACTCAAATTTGACTTGTAATTGCACATAACCTAGGTAGTTGAAATTCATGATGACCGGTACGAGCCGGCTCAGATCAATGCATGGATAAACTGAAACAAGTTACTCTGCTAAATTAAAGCATATCATCATGGGTTATGGATTTGAAATAATGAGCAATGAATTAACAGTCAGCCGCTCTATTCCGAAGCTACCAAGGAAAACCGAAATTCAAAAACTTGACCCCTGTTCTTCGGACCAATCTACCAAAACAAAAAAGCCACTTTTTACTTTTTGAAATGCTTACAGAGGAACGGGAAACTATAGCAATTCTTTCTATTTGCCCGGCTCAGATCAATGCCTGGATAAACACTAACAAGTTACTCTGCTAAATTAAAGCATATCATCATGGGTTATGGATTTGAAATAATGAGCATTGAATTAACAGTCAGCCGCTCTATTCCGAAGCTACCAAGGAAAACCGAAATTCAAAAACTTGACCCCTGTTCTTCGGACCAATCAACCAAAACAAAAAAGCCACTTTTTACTTTTTGAAATGCTTACAGAGGAACGGGAAACTATAGCAATTCTTTCTATTTGCTTCTTGGGCCTGAAAATCTCCAAGACAAGAAAATGGTGGGGCTCTAAGGTTTTTGTTTGGCTAGAAGTTTGAGTCCCGTTCATTCACCCTATCAATATTAACACAGTTCCTTTATAAGTATAAAGCCCTTGGGACAATTCAAAAACAGATAAAAGGAAAAAGAGAAAAAATACAATAGAAATAATTGAAAATAGCTCAATCTCTGAGTAAAAGATTGAATTGGATTTGATTGGGTGGTGCCACCTTAATCGAATGCAAACCTTTGATCTTACATTTTGTCATCTATGAGGTCAAGAGTGCAGGAGACAAAAAGTAAAATAACAAGAATTCAAGCAGAGTATGAGCTCCGAAAATTCGTTCCTCGACCTTTCCGGGCCTCTTTTATTGAAGGGGAGATTTTTAACGAATTTAGATTGCGGGGTAAATTTTCATAAGGCAACATGGGTTTTAAATAAGATACTAACCAGAGATTTCACCCTAATTTTGCAAGGACTTTATGATCCGAGTTCCAGTTTCACATAAGCGCAAGCCCCTACAGTTAATTAACCCTCCTAATAATGAGGGAGAACTTTCAATTAAAGCTAGTTGTTAAATAGGTCGCAATAACTACCTAGTGTATAGTAGCAATAATTTTAGGATTTAAATTTGATTTTGAATTTTTGAATTTACGATTTAAAATTTATCATCATATACTCAAAGTGAGTGATGGGGAATAATGACGGGCCCATTCAAAATGTCATGGTTTCAACATCCCAGGCTATCATGTTCTCCGGTCTACTTTGTCAGAGGAGGTAGTCGGCTTAGCCAGACAGAAAGAACATTGTTGGCAATCATGGGTTCTTTCGTCCAAGAATACCTTGTAGATTGGGTGTAGATGTTTGCCTAATGTGATGAATTTAAGTCAACCTTAGCTAAGAAGGCTTTATATCTTATGAAAAGCACCCTATAATTCATTACTCAAAAAGATTTTAGCCACTAGGGAACATACGGGCTTTGGCCGTGACCATAATATAGTGGTGTCATTTTGCAACAAAACCACTCTATCAAAGGACACATTCCACGTCCCTTACTGCAAGAAATTAATTGAGAATGGATTGTAGTGATACATTCAACAAGACATCTACTCTTTACGAGCTGAAGTTATTCTTAAATTCATCATCCTCGCCAAACAGTTACAAAATGTGGATGGATTTGGTTTTAAATTTTTGGTTAAGAATTTAAACTACTAGTAGGATTTGAATTTAAGTTTTGAATGAATGACATTAGAATTTTAAGAGCATTTTGAAAGTTAAACAGCTCTTTCCGATTAAAATTTCCTAACAACAAGGCTATCATCATGGTGTTTGAGCACTTTTAATAAATCCGTGAATCATTCTCAGAGCATATGAAGAACTTTGCATAACATATTTTTCGCTTCTATTACACATATATAATGTGTTTTGCTTTCTCCCTAACTTTGTGTAACATATATTACTTTTGCTCACTGCTCTTATATAAGTAAACTTTGAACATTGTTCTTGCATAATACATTAGCATTTGCAAATGCATTTATATTTTAATCAATATATTTAATTATTCCTCAAAGATCTTAACACTAGCTTCAGCTCTTGATACATTAATTTTCTCTAGATTAGGAGGCTTGTCCATACAAATAATATATAAGACCCGATTTGCATGCATCATATATCGAAACAACTCTTAAATTGAATCAGATTATTTTCAAGAAATCAAGTCATTTTGCCTTATTTTAAATCAATTAAAATGGCATATACTTTTTTTTAGAATTAGCTTAATGACAAAATTTTGTTTGAAATTAATTATGTGGGGAGTCCTTTATTGTTTAAAATTTTGGTAACCTCCCGATGTCTCCCCCATATAGGGGGGTCTCGGGTAGGCATTTGTCTTTTAGTCTTCCCAGCAGGATCAAAGATACAACGGATGTTGGGTCTTTGTATAATTCATGTTCTTCCCAACTGGATCAAAAATACAAACGTGGGGTCTTCTTTTGTTCTTGTTCTTCTCCCGACTGGATTAAAGATATGAAGGACGTGAGTTCTTCTATGCTTGTTGTAAAAAAAAAAAGAGACATACCAGATATAATTGTTCTTTTATTTTATAATTCTCAATATCAACTTGCCTTCCCCTCTTTTATATATATATATATATATAGTTAGAGAGAGTTGGGCTGGTGAGAGGGCTTCAGCTATAGATGACCAGAAATTAGGTTCACCTGTGGTTGTAGGATTGCCAACGGTAGGACTTGGCTGAGGTTGGTGGACAATAGGAAGAGGAAGAATGTGATTAGGGTCGCCAACGTCAACTTGGGCGAAGATTGGGGGTTGCTCAAGTGCGTTGTGTCAAACATGAGAGAAGGATTGGCTAGGTTGAATGGGTGCAGGAGGTCGAGCAGGTCGTGCAATGGTTCTTGCATGTTGGGTTCTGCAAATGAGCAGCAAGGGCACAAGCTGGGTGCCTGAGGCCTGGGTAGGGATGGTCAACGGTCGACGTAGGCGGGTCTGGTCGTGTGAGGGCTAGAGAGCCGATTGTGGGGTTGTTCGCGCTCATGAGGGTAAAGTCGCGGGCTTCCTTGCGTGCGGAAGAGTAGTGCGAACGAATAGAGAGGGAGCGGGAGATTTGGCTCCTGCGTGCAGCACAGGGAGATCAAGGGAGGGGTAAGCCTGATACTTGAATGCGACTTCAACTGGGGTCACACGATAGAGAGGTAGACAAGAGAGGAGGGCTCGTGAGAGTGAGAGCATGAGTGTGCATGAGAACGTGTCCAGGGAGTTTTTTGGCTGGGTCTTTTAGTGTGCCTGAGTGCTGTGAGCGGTTATGAGGAGTTAGGTTAGTGGGGTTCATGGGTTCATGGTCAACATAGATCAATAATCCATTTTGGGAATTCGAAGCAGCTAACCTCCATGCACATGATATATACAACCCTTAGCCTTATTTATTGTAAAAGGTCTTGCATATTTTGAGTCTGAGGGGACAATAAAATATACTTTGAAATGCAACTTGAACACACTTTATCCTATCCTCTATTATATATAATCCCAATACTTGAGGAGATTATCATCGGATATATAGCTACTATTAGTTCCCTTTAAAAAGTAAACAAAGAATTATTTACGTTGATTGGATAACAAAATATATCTTAAAAAAGAAATTATACAAAATTGGAGCCCACATGCAAAAGTATAAACATCATAGAGTAAAACTGAACTGTGCTAAATACAATAAGAGCTACTGAGCCAAGATATGAGCATTGGATGAAATATGCTTCAAGTGTACCTCAAGATGAAGATCAAGGTGTTTGCAATATATGCAACCATTTCCCTGGAAAATAAAGAAATATCCAAGAAGTTAAAAAGAAGTTTAAAAAAAAAATCTGAAGCATTCAGTTCTTGCAATTCATCATCTTTACAGTAGGATGACTCAGTTTTCTTCCTAAAACCAAATTATAGATGTACTCCAAAGTAATACATTACTGTATCAATGCTCCATTACATATCACGCATTTGAATAAACCAAGTTTTAACTGAAGGGTGAAAAGATTGCAAAGTATCATTTTCTGTGATCCAACTTCCATCTTTGCCTCAATCCTTGAGTTTGAGGGGCCATCAACAGAAGTAGTTTAAAAGCCTCCCTAGAAACCCATAGTCAGGTGTTGCAAATGATGGCTACCCCGTATGAAGCCAAAGAAACTAAATTGAAAAGAATTGCAACTTCTTTGAAGAGGTATTACATCTAAGTTCAATATTCTCAATTCATATGTCTATCAATATATTAAGAAATAATGGCTATATAAGATGCAAAACTATTTGATTAGTACAACAACAACAACAAAAACAACATCAAGCTTTTTACCCACTACGCTGGGTCAGCTATATGAATCCTTTTTCGTCATTGTGTCATGTTAAAAGTCAAATTCTCATTTAAATCTCATAAAGAAATATCATTTCTAATATTTTCTAGCCAAGTATTTTTAGGTCTACCTCTACCTTTCTTAGCATAAATCAAATCTAATACTTTAACTTTACTAATTGGGTCATCGGAAGGCCTCCGTTTAATGTAACCAAATCATCTAAGGCGACTCTCTCTAATCTTATCTTCCACTGGAGCTACTCCAACCTTTTCACATATATGCTCATTTCGTATCCTATCTCTAAGGGAAAAGACACTCATCCACCTAAGCATCCTCATATGTGCAACACTTAACTTAGTATTATGCTTCTCTTTTAATGGCCAACATTCGGCACCATAAAGCATTGCAGGTCTTACCACCATCTTATGAAATTTTCCCTTAAGTTTGAGGGGGATTTTTTTATGCACGCAAAAATTTGGGAGAGGACCCCAAATTTTTGCAAGCAAATGAAACTCTTCCTATAACTTAAAAGATACTCAAAACACTACAAAAATTACATAAGATAAAGCGACAACACTTGCACAAAACAAAACACAACTTTAATATTATAAAAGGACTTACAAACAACAAATAAACTTTGACATAAACACCTTACAAATTTGGAAACATAAAGACACCTAAAGTTGCTTGTCAATCGTTGCTTTGAGAAGAATGATACTGGTGGAAATGTGGAATGAAACTTGCGGAGAGATGAAAGAGATTAGAAGCCGAGACGGAAGGCAGACAAGCTCGCAAGCTTTCTCAAAGAGTAGAAGAAGAGGAAGTAGTGGACAAAGCTCTCAAGCTTTTCCAAGAAAAACCTTCAGTTTTTCCATTCCAAAAATAACATTTTCACTATCTTTAAAACATACAAATCAGCCCCTATTTATAGGCAAGAAAGAGGAGCTAAACAGCCACTATAACTACTAATTAATTCAATTAAAAGGGGCAATTGAAAGGACAAAAATTCAGTCCAGATTTCTGTCCAGAAAAAGGCCATAAATCTATCCCAAAACAGCAAAAACTGCATAGAAATCAGGGAAAAACTCATGGAATTCCCCCCCAAACAGCCACCACATCAGTCCCCAAACGGCACAGCAAAAACAGAGAAAAGAAATCCACGGAACCAAGCAAGGAACCACAGAACCGAGCAGCCCAGCACGGAACTGAGGAGCCAACCGCAAAAACCAAAGGTGCAAAGGCACGGGAATTCTTCCCAGCACAGGAAACCAACAGCCAACCGTGGGAACCAATGGGCCAAGGCACGGGAAAGCCACCCAGCACAGGAAACCAAACAGCCATCCACGGGAATCCAAAGGACAAAGGCACGGGAAAACAGCCAACACAAGAAAACAAAAAAGACAAAGGGGAGGAGAAGAGACTCTAGTGGAGAAACCAAAGAGACACAAGAAGAAACCAAAGAGACAAAGGAAAAGGGGGAATGAATCTAATAAATCTTCAATTTACGAGCTTAAGACACTCTACTAGATATTAGTGAGTTGTCATCTAGTAGAGGAAATTAAAACTCACCAAGAATAAAACCCAACTTGTTTTGACACCCCCCCCCCCTTGCCTACATCACTTTTCTATCGCACAACAAGCCCGATGCATTCCTCCACTTCAACCATCCAACTTGAATTCTGCTGATAATATCCCCATCTATTTCACCATCACTCTGAACAATATATCCAAGATATCTAAAACGTGTACTCTTATTAATGACTTGATCGCCCAAAGTCACAATCCCCTCACTAGGTCTATTGGTACTAAAATTACATTCCATATATTCAGTCGTGTAGGTTGTTGAATGATATTTTCAGAAGTTATAGCTTTGTTAGCTGAGACCTCTTCAGAAGTAAATAAAAAAAATTAGAATAATGAAGAAATTTTTTTAAAAATAAAAAAGTTTTGATAGTTGAAATACTTTTAAAGTAAATGTAAAACAACAGAAAAAAAAAATATTTTGGCTGAGTGGAATATAGATGGAAAATATGAATTAAAAATTTAGTCCCAAACTCTTTGAAAGTCAAACGATGCCTAGATATGTTAGATTTAACCATCTTGAATCTATTATTTGAAAATTAGAGACATAGATGACGTATAATATTGAGTTAAAACTAGGCGTTCTATATGAATAAGTACCTTGGGATTTTTATGCATTAAAAGAATGTCAAACAGACAAAATAAGATTTGTATACAATCTTAGTTATGTGTGGCAAAAATGAAAAGTTTAGGATGAATGCAAGGTAAAACTAGGAAGGATCATGTGAGTAATAATCATATTAGAGAAATTGTGAGAGTAGAACAAATTTGAAGATAAAATAGTGGAAATAAAATTAAGTGGTGTGAGCATGTAAAAAAAGGAGTGGAGGATGAACCAAAAAAGAGAGTGGACAAAATTAGTGTGAAAAGAAATAACCCACAAGAAACATGGTAAGAAGTTGTGACAAAAAAAAAAGTTCAAAAAAGAGTTAAACCCCTCATATGACACTCAATCTGATCAATTAAGTATGCAGATTCATGAAGCTAACCTCAACTAGCTGGGATAAGGCTAATGATGATGGTATGATGATGATGAACTATGGTAAACTGAAAAGTATACAAGAACAAAGATCATAATTAAAATATATATGAAAAATAAAGTATAGAAAATGCTGGGTGCTATGGCACTAAATAGAATATGCAACTATTACAACAATCTTATAATCGGTAAAGGTTCAAACTTCATGATACCCTGAAAATGTGCAATTTTAAATAATAAAATCTGAAAAGTATCGTTTAAACTTGAGCACTTTTCATCTTTCGTTGGTTAGGGAGGACAGGTTGAGATAGTCTTGTTGTTTTGGGAATTTCAAGGCAAGGGTAAATCAGCATACCAGAAATGATGTAAGCTCTGTTGACTATCACCCTTGAAAGCAGTTTTGGCCACTGCTGCAAAGAACCTGTCATGCGAGGCAATCCAGGGAATAAACTAAAATGATTGAGATGTAAACATTTTGCTAGAGAAGTTCTTACATGCCCAAAGTCATCACTGCCAAGACTCCTGAAACATCAGCCCCACCTTGAGCCTGGTGAATACACATCATTCTTTAGCAATCAAAACAAGGAAAAGGGAAATGGAAAAGCATTCCATAGTGCTAATAATAATTTCAGAAATTCACAGTTTATAGCAATCTATACTCCATTCATTCAATAGGGAAAGCTGCAAAAAACTAAATACTAGATAAAATAAATATATAGAATATTTCCATCATGTCATCAATAACGAAGAGAGACAGCCTGGGTGTGTTTTTAAAGAAGGGCAAAACAAAGTCACAAATCTCCATTAAGCGAATGTCTAGGGCACCTGTAGAAACAACAGATGAAAAGGCTGAAAGACTCATAAAAATACTAAAAGTTGTTTTGATTTGTACTTAATTACTAAAAAGACTTCCTAATACCAGCATGCAAATTGTGAAACATGGTAACTGGAGCTGGACGCATTCAAAGTACATGGGAAAAAACACTCATTATCTTCCTCCTAATCAATGTTTTTGCTCTTGGAAATATTCTATGTTGGCAGCTCATCTCTGCAGTGGGTGTTATGTGTAATAACCTAAATTTTTTACCCAAGCAAATAATTTTTTTAAGAGTTATTATAAGCAAAATTTGAAAACAATATTCGTCATAGCATTTATATTATAGTATTTTAATAACATGATTTTTTTTGTAATTTTTAGGAATTGGCAAAAACTCTTAAGAAATTAACACATATCAGTACAAGTGAGGATTTTTGGACCATTAGGTATATGTCTTAAAAACCGATGTCACCAATATTTTTTAAATAAAATGAAATATTTTTTTATAATTTTTTAAGCTCAAAATAGATTTATATGTATTTTATACTGAAAATTAATTAAATTAAATAATTATAATAATATTACATTATTATTATTATTATATTACAACTATCTATATCCACTCAGATTTTTAAAAACACCCTTTTCCTATTCATATTCAGCTAACAGAGATATGGATTACAGATTTTAAGAGAAAGAGGAGAGAAAGAAAAAGATAACCTAATTTTGGAGGTCACAGTGCGATTTTTGCCATTCAGTCCTATTGGGATAGTTGCTCGTCTCGCTGTAAAGAATAACTATCCTATCTTTTATTTCAATAATTTTATGTTTTCGATATTTTTCTGATAAAATTTATATTTTCATTATTGAAAAATGAGGATAATTTTGTATCAGTAAAATTTTCACAGCATAAATTTTTGTTTTGTATGTGATAGATCTTGTCAATATGAACATTTTGATTATAACATATAAGATTTTCACCGGATAAATTGAAATATATGATTTTTTTATGTAAATGCATAGTGTAAAAATTTGATAGATTTCCCTATATTTTTATATTTATGCATTTCATACATGATATTGCCTTACAATACATAAAAAATATAGCATATATAAGCAAGAAAGACTAGCTATTAACACTATAATGAATACAGATATGTTATTTCACTAATGTTCTACTATTTAGCATTGTTTATGAGTCTATATGTGAGGTATGTAGACTGTTCAGTATGGGTGTCAAAAGTTGACACAACCCGAAACCCAACCTGGAAAAATCCAAGTTCGAGTCAACCCGTTTGTGAAACGAGTCGGGTTCGGGTTGACCCGACAACCCGGAGTTGACCCGACAAACCTGGATCTCGCGCTGACCTAGCCCTAGCCCGCACTGCCACCTCCCAGCCGCTAGTGGCCCCGATCGCCAGCCCCAGGTTTGGCTCCTGCGAGCTCCTACCTCACCACGCTGGGGTCGAGCCTGGCGGCCCTTGCCTTAGTTGCCTCCGACCTCGTGGCTCGCATGCACCTGCGGCATTCCAAGTCGAGCCCCGCCTCCGCCAGTCTGCATCTCCACGACTCCACCTTATCCATCTCGCCTACATGACTTTGCCAGTCTGCATCTCCGTGATGACTCGTCTCGACCTCGCCCAGACCTTATGCACCCGCAAGTCAACGCGACGCAGCGATTGCGCCCGAGAAAGGAAGGCAAATGTTCGGGTCCGCGGGTCGTGTAGGGTCAACCCAGAAACTGGCTCGGATCGGGTACGGGTTAAAAAATCCTAACCTGTTTAGCTAAACGGGTCGGGTTCGGGGCAACCCGTTTATGCTCAGGTTGGACCCGAACAAGACCCGTTGACCCGAATTGAAACCCCTACTATTCGCTGTGAACTCGTTTGAAATTTCTTAGTGACTCTGTAATTATATATGTGATGAAAGTTGAATCATTTAGATGCTTCCGTTATTATTCAAATGTAATTGTCAATGAATGTTTATGTGAATATGCAAATGATGAGAAATAATTAAAAAGTAAAGAATGAATGTTATGTTAGTTCTGTGACACTCTACCTTACAGGTAAAGGGTATTGTTGGGTGTTACACTTAGATTCTAGTTCATGACCAATAAGAAGTATGTGATTATAAAAAACTTTATAAGGAACAACTTTATAACATAAGGACATGAGGGGTAGGGGGGAGCGTTAGGGGATTAATAATAGAGGTGGAGTTGTTGGAGCTATAGACTAGTGGTTTTGATGTTTGAAGGTGGAAGGTAAGTTTGGGTGAGATTGGTGGTGGAATGGTTATGAAGATCTTGGTATGTGGCTTTGAATATAGTGAAGGTGTAGATTATAATTGATTTATCGCATTGTATCACCTATCAACTACTTAATCAAGACAAATCTAAGGATTCTAATGAGGAACATAGTGCTTATGTGAGCAATATGAATGATAATCATGAGTATTAAAATAATTATAATAATCATAATGGGAATTATTTTAATAGAATAAACCAACAATAAATAATGAAAGGGTCGAATCGATGCCTATGTTGATGTTTATCATTCGCAAAACAGAGCAATAAGTGCTGTTATGAAAGAGAAAAAGAAAGATATTTGCTTTATGGGGTGTGGGAGAATCTGGATGTGTGGGTGACTTATGCAAGAAATTGTGCCCAGGTAGGGGTTTGCAGGAAATAATGCAAAGGTTGTAGTTTGCATTGCAAGGTGTGGGCTTAGTACCGAGGAAGGTATGCAAGTGATAGCAACATAAGAGCAAGAAGATGTGGTGCAAGAAACAGCTGCGAGATAGAGGTGGAAGAGATTAACCTTGTTGGTGATTCCTTTTGTCAACCATTAAAGTTGTTGTAAGCATAAGGAAATTTAGGGAGGCATAAGGAGGCACATGCCCACCCCATATTTTTTGGATATTTCTATCCAACAGATATATATTGATATGTCCCCACCCTTTAATTTTTTTGAAAGCAATATTCAATTCGTTCTGCCACCCAATAATAATTAATTAATTAAGCAAAAATTTTAATCCTAAATCTATTTGACTTTGCTCAATCATTTGAGTTTAGTCCAACTTAATTTAAACACATGATTTACTAAAATCGTTTAGAAAATTTTTCACCTCAAGTCCTTATATAATCATCTTACAAAAAAAAAAAAATCAAACATGCTTTCAAAAAAAATTTAAAAATTAAAAATAAAATAAAAAAATTAAATAAAAAATAAAAATAATAAAAAAACTCCGCATAACAACAGCAATCCTGAGTCCCTGAGATCCAACCCTTTGTACGCAAGCCCAGCATGTTGTCTCTATTTCAATCATAGAAGTATCAATAGGAAGTTCCCTTTTACAGCTACCTCTAATCATCATGACCTTGTGTTGTTTTTATAGCTTATGGTCGCACCTGCTAGTCACCTCCTCTAAATCTCCTGGTTGTCACCCCTATGTTGTTGGGGATGTTATTTTTTGTGTAATAAATCATCACTCAATACAAATGTTATCACTCAATATGTTTTCTTTAATTCTTTTAAGATTGAATGTGGGGAGTTCACATCTTTTGAAAAAAAAATCTTAAATTTTAACATAATAGTATGTTTTATGATCTTGACAAACTACACCTCAAGTTTTCAATGTGGTTAAGATGTTATGTTTTCCTAATCGTTACTTATTTTGTTTTAATGCTACATGTGAATTTATAATAAATATTGATTTCTATGGAACATTGCAAAAAATAGTAATTTCACTGTATATTTCTTTATAGTCATAAGCAAAGTCAACATATTAGAATAATTTCTCTTAAACAATTTGATCATACAAAAATTGAATATCATACTCATTTAATGCTTCAATTGATTGTGGTAGGTTCCTTTTAAGACAAAGAGTAGCTTTCAATGACATGATGAGTTAGAAAAGAAACAAAACAAGTTTTTTTAAGTGAATTACAAAAAAGGAAAGCTAAATTCTAAACTCTTAACCTACACAACAACAATAGCAACAATAACATCAAGCCTTTATCTCACTACATGGGATTGGCTAGTTGAATCCTTTTTATCCATTGTGTCCTGTTACTAGTCAAATTCTCTTTTAAATCTAATGAAAAAAGATCAATTCTAATATTTTTAGCCAAATCTTTTTAGGTCTACCTGATATAGGACTACAATGCTTGCAATGATTTTATTAAGAGCTTGCACAATTTTATTGATTAAAGAAATAACAAATAGAACTATTAGTAGATAAAACGATGAATCAAAACGTAGGAGTGATCACTTTCGTTTAGGCTAAGTTGCATATCAATAGATTTGAGCCATCAAAATATCGTAGGAAAACAATATTATGCAAAATAGTAGCTTTCAACGAAAATCCCTAATCTAACAATAAGATTTAGAAAACAATGAAGTGCACTCAATTCCCTACGTTTACTAAGCTTAGCAGAATCGGGCAAACACGACCTTCATGACTACAATCAAATCACAAAGAAAGAATTAGACTTAAGAAATACGAGAAGAGGAAGATTAGAGAACCTTCGTCAAGGACCGGGTGCGATCCTCCACTCGACGATCTCAAGTTGCTCTTCAATAGCCTCGACCAAGGTGTCAAAGATGCATTCTATGTAGTCTTCAACTGTATGATTGATCCTCGGGTTGACGTCGAAGAAGGTTGAATGGAGAATGTGCATGAAGCTGTGTTCATCGTAAGCAATTCTGTAGTCAGTATCGGGATCGGCCATG